TATTGTGCAAGTTGTATGTCCAAAAGTAATTCATGTGAATTTATCAAGTGATTTCAGAGGATCAATGCAGGGTTTTTTGGTTTTCTTCCGTTGGAGTGTACTCCAAAATCTCTCTTGTATCCTATCGCCTTAATCCGAATTATTTTTTTATGAATGAATTAGTATTCAAAAGTTGCAATTCTAGAATTATTAATTTGTTAATCGTACACATTCTACCGACACTTCTTAAAAAATAAACACAAAAAGGTTTCATTGTTATGCTAAGCTGAATATGCATTATCATGATAATCGTATGCATAAGCTTTACCTAACTGATGCTAGTGTAATGTAATCTGCTTCAAATATAAATGTTCCTATATATTATATTGTATTCTTTTAATGTTGGAAGCTGAAGAATTCAAATATCCAAAGTATACTTTCCTCCATTTTCCATGTTCCCAAGCAATTAATTATCAATACTACACTACTTAAAATATCGATATTCTTAATGACTTAGTACCAAGATTTGATAGAAAAGAGCTCTTCGAAGAAAAACCATTTAATCTTCCCTAATAATCTTGATTAATTTACTTCAAGTCTCCATTCTACTATATTTCTCATTCATAGAGATGGCGATCTTTTGCAATTGATGGGTGAATTGAAGAGTCAATTGAAGAAAATCACCATTACTGATAAAAGCCGCATTGATTCAATGTTCCTCCGCTATAATAAAGATAGACTTGGCTACATCGATCTGGATAACTTAAAGGATATCTGTCACAAGGTGCATTTGCCAGCTGATGAGGATGTCTTAAATGCGGTATGTTGACGAGGGTGAAAGTTGTACCTCAATTAGCTTACACTTTCTTGCTATATTTATTTATTTAAACTACCGTGAGAAAATTTTTATTTCCTTAACATTTCATTCTTATTTACGTAGCTTGTATCTCTTTTTATTCTTAGCTATTGGATGAGCAAGGAACAAACGGAAAAATGGATTTGGAACAGTTCCGCAGATTCTTTGAATCAAACTAACTTGTAATCTCTCTAATAATAAGCTCAAAGTTTTTGTTGTAAAAACAGCCATATGGCCCTTTGAAATCAGAGCCAACATTGTAACTTCACAAGTAAACACCGAAGTCCAATTGATTTTGCTTGAACTCGGCCTACTCCAATTTTAGCTTCATAAAGAATATTTTCGAAAACTATTTAGGACTACGCTAAACTTGATACACTCGAATAAAGAATGAGTATTTCATTTCTCAAATTTTTCTTACGTCAATGCCTTAGTTTGTCTTATTATCAATAACTTTGTAACTTTTTTCCAATACCCCAACATTATCAGGTCCTTTTGAAGCTCATTGTAGCTTTCTTGCCGGGTAGCCTACCATATATCTGATATATCTATCTTGGCGGGCTTTAGTCTATTTAATTGATCCCTTTTAACCTACCTTCATAGCTATTATGAATACTATTACTTCATTTGTGCATAATGATCTTTAGAGCTACATTCATGGACATATATGTAACCTTTAAGGTAAGTAGAACTGAAAATGAGAATGGGATAATGCTACTCTTCTCTTCAACATATATTTTTTTACCGGGGTTCGGACTAAATTTCGACAAGTATTTTACCAAATATCAACAGCCTCACAGCAAGTCGAACCAACTTAACAAAGTAAATGACGTAGAGTAGTTAAATAAATTGAAGTTCATTAACATAATTTTACTTAATTACGAATGCAAAGGCCTATAGTAGATATTGTTTAGGCTAGCAAACCCATGCTTTTAACATGTTGCATGTGAGCTAAGACCGTGAAACAAACTAGCATACAAGAGGATGGGGGAATACAAGCAAGAGGCCATTCAGCTTTGGGACATTTAAAGACACTGAGATGATGTGGGGGTTAGAGATGCCAAGCGTAAGAAGCGCCACAATGTGGGGCATGGTTGGATGTGAGTTACCTGCCTGCAATGAGCATGAGTCACCAGAGGTATTAGAACTTATATCGGATTTATTACTTCTAACTCGACGGGTCATGCTGCTTGCTCTTTCCAACATTAATCCCACCGATAGCACGAAGTATTCCAGCTTAATTTTCTACACCTTATTCATCCATATGAGATATTGTTTACGCAGATATGAATAAAACAGGATTTCGAAGAATCCCTTAATATAATGATATTGGCGAATTTTGTATTTAGTTTAAGAAGCGAATGGAAGGGATTCGTAAATTGGTTCTACTGGAAGCTTGAGAGATAAGATAGGAGCAACAAGGATATATAACATGTGCCCACTGGATTTGAAGTCCATGAAACAAGTGTTATACAGCCATGGAGAGATTAGACATTATGCAAATTTTCGCTGATCCTGCCTTCTTCAAGTCTTCTGTTCATTAAATTTCTCCTAGTCAGTATATCAATGGCCTCTCGGATCTTGCGTTTTCTCCCATTTTCACCGTATCCAGCCCACCTATCGGTCGATTTCCAGTCGATTTCATGCCCCGTCCGTGCAATGTGTTCCGCTATTTCTGATCGTTGTGTATCCATTTTCCTGCAGATTCTTTGATGTTCCTTGATTCGTAAGCCGATTTTTCTTCCTGTTTACCCTATATACTTCTGCTCATAGTTGCCGCATTTGATTCGATAAACTCCCTAACATTCAAGTTTGTCTGTTTTCTTCTCCTTTGTTATCACCTTGATATTTCATTTTCCTAATAAAGGTCGCAATTGTTGGCTCAGTTTTGATAAGGACAAGTAAATCCACTTTTGGTTCTTATCTTCATTCCTGATCTGATTTTCATAAAATCCAAGTTCAAATCGGCCCGTTATAACTTATACATTTTTCTCTATACATTCTCGGGGATATCCACTACTTAGACAAATCTCTGTCAGTTTGTCCATCTCCTCGTCCCAGAACTCTTTGTCTGTTAGCCGTAAGCTTCTGATGATCAAACTCCTCAGTATTCCGACATTCAGTCTTTAATTATGATGAGACTGGAAATTAAGGATTATTCGCGCACACGAATTCTTTCTGTATAGTTTCCTCATGAGTGTCCCTCTGGAGCGTATTATTGCAACATCCAGAAATGGAAGTCGTTCATCTTCCCCTACCTCCATTGTAAGTTTAATTCCTTCCTCAAGTTGGTTAATGAAATTGAGAAATTCACTTAAATTTTCCTTACCATGTGACCAAAGTGCAAAGTAGTCATCCAAGTATCGCATAAGCCCTCTTGGTTGCAGTGATGACTTCTCGAATTCCCTTTCCAACTTGTCCATATATACATTCGCCAAAAGAGGTGAGAGTGGTGATCCCATTGGTAGTCCAAATATTTGCTCAGAGATATTGCCGTTAAATGTGAAATATGTTGTCATAACTGTCAAGTTGATTAGTCGTGTTAACAACTCCTTTCGTATCCGTTGTGTTTCCAGGATATCCTCTTCCCCCTGCAATATCTCCATTAAGGCGCTTATTGCCTTCTCATCTGAGATGTTTGTGTACATGGATTGTACATCGAAACTCACCAACAGCTCCGACTTCACTAACTCAATGTTCTGGATCATTTGAGAAAATTCATATGAATTCTTGACGGTATTCAAGAGTCTGTCACTTACTTTATTGAGCTTCAAGCAAATAAATTTCGCTAGTTTATGCATTGCTCCATGCTTGTTGTTGACTATTAGTCATAGAAGATTCCCTTCCTTGTGTATCTTCGGTAGTCCATAGGCTGTCGGTGGTCTTGCGTCATTTTTGATTAAAGATTTAA